TTATTTATTTTATTTTATTCTATATTTTTATATTTTTATTTCTACATTGTATGTCGTTTCTTGTTTCTCATAGAAGTGTTGTGCACCAAACACCAAATCAAATTCCTCGTAGGTGAAAAACCTACTTGGCAATAAACCTTATGCTGATTCTGATTCTGATGTACTTTAATGCTTTCTACAGTTCAGAAGTCTAAACTGAACCATATTTCTGAGGATCTTGTCATCAAAACGTAGCCTGTTTAAACAGTCTAAGTCTAAGTCTAAGATGTCTAAGTCTAAGTCTAAGATTCAAACCTTCTAGGACATGATCCCAAAATGTACTTTAATGCTTTCTACAGTTCAGAAGTCTAAGCTGAACCATATTTCTGAGGATCTTGTCATCAAAACGTAGCCTGTTTAAACACTCTAAGTCTAAGTCTAAGATGTCTAAGTCTAAGTATAAGATTCAAACCTTCTAGGACATGATCCCAAAATGTACTTTAATGCTTTCTACAGTTCAGAAGTCTAAACTGAACCATATTTCTGAGGATCTTGTCATCAAAACGTAGCCTGTTTAAACAGTAAAAGTCTAGGTCTAAGATTCAAACCTTCTAGGACATGATGGAGGTGCAAAGACTAAACTCCCAAAATGTACTTTAATGCTTTCTACAGTTCAGAAGTCTAAACTGAACCATATTTCTGAGGATCTTGTCATCAAAACGTAGCCTGTTTAAACAGTCTAAGTCTAAGTCTAAGATGTCTAAGTCTAAGTCTAAGATTCAAACCTTCTAGGACATGATCCCAAAATGTACTTTAATGCTTTCTACAGTTCAGAAGTCTAAACTGAACCATATTTCTGAGGATCTGCTCATCAAACCTCTCTCTCTTTCTCAGAAACTGGCCTTGTATTCCAAAATGCAAGATCCCCAGGAGAGCAGCAGCAGGCAGCTGCCCCCCCCGGGGCCCCCGGGGCCCCCGGCCATCAAAGAGGAGGACAAGGATCTGCCGCCGGGCGCCGAGTACTTGGGCGCCCGCTGTGTTCTCTTCAGCTACTTCCAGGGAGACATCAGCAGCGTGGTGGACGAGCACTTCAGCCGCGCCCTCAGCCAGACGGCCGCATACCCGCCGCCCAGCAGCCACAAGGCCCTGAGAGGTGGGTCAGGGGGTCTGAGGGGGTCTGAGGGGGTCTGTAAGGGGTCTGAGTGAGCGAGTGTGGGTCATGGAGGAGTTTTATTTTAGGTTTCGAGCAGGAAATGTGTGTAAATATGGTAAGTTCCCCCTCAAATACTGTAAATATATCACTTTTTGGGGACTCTGTGGGTATGCGTGGGTCTGTGTGGGTCTGTGTTGGTGTGTGTGGGTCTGAGTGGGTCTGAGTGGGTCTGTGTGGGTCTGAGGGGGACTGAGTGGGTCTGACGGGGTTTGGGGGGGTCTGAGGGGAGTTTTATTTTAGGTTTTGGGCAGGAAATGTGTGTAAATTTGATCATTTTTCGTGGGATCTACTTTTATCAAATATAACTTTTTGGGGACTCTGTGGGTCTAAGGGGTCTGAGGGGGTCTGAGGGGGTCTGTGTGGGTCTGTGAGGATTTTTATTTTAGGTTTTGGGCAGGAAATGTCTGTAAATATGGTAATTTCCCCCTCAAATACTGTAAATATAACACTTTTTGGGGACTCTGTGGGTATGCGTGGGTCTGAGTGGGTCTGTGGGGGTCTATATGGGTCTGTGTGGGTCTGAGGGGGTCTGTGTGGGTCTGTGTGGGTCTGTGATGAGTTTTATTTTAGGTTTTTTGGCAGGAAATGTGTGTAAATATGGTCATTTCCCCCTCAAAACACTGTAAATATTTGCAGACGTGGGATCTACTTTAATTAAAGATAACTTTTTTGAAGATCTGTGCCGCTTTTCTTTTACATGCAAAATGCATTTATAAATGTATAAATCAGAGAACCAGTCAAGATTTATTTATCTTTGTTCTGGTCCTCCGTCTCAGTGTTTTATGACCCTAAACATTACTCATCAAACCTTACTTTAACAATATGTGAGGGAACATTGTGTGTATTGTATTTTCATTTGACCTGGCTTTAAAACCTTACAGAGGGTCAAACAAAGTTTAAAAAGAAATTTTGTTAGGGCCCGTTGAATGATTTAAATTGAAAACATGGTTAAATTATTTCTGGGAAATTATTTCTGCTTTTCTGACCCCCTCAGTGACTTCCAGGTTCTATTAGTTTTACAAAGTTGATGCTTTTGAGTTGATTTTTTTTCTTGTCAGCCGGATGCTCAAATGAAGCAAAACGCTTTTAATGTTCAAGCTTATGATAGAAAAAATTATGGAAATGATAAAAATGTTGCAATAAATCCTGAATCAGACACAATTATTCAGTTTTTACAGCACGTTCGGTTTGTAGTTTTTACATTTTTGTAACCAATGGCTATAAAAAAATGCTATTTAACCCTTTAAAGCCTGATCCAAGAATAAAACAAACAGAAAATGAGTTTTTTTGGTTTGAAGTCTTTATTTGGCCTTTTAACAAAATATGTAAAAAGAAAAAACTAAAATACATTTTTAATATTAATAATTTATTACTATGTGATAAGTCAAGATTATTTTTTGTGTAGTCTTCTGCCCCCTGTTATCAGGTGTATCTGATTGTGTACAAAAGGATTTTGAGCAAAGTTTTTACCATTAAATTATGCAAAAAGTGTCAGACGCAAAACATTGCAGAAACCGTATGAATCAGATATGATACATTTGGCATTACAGGGTTAAAAAAATAAATCTGCTTCTTTGGTGAGTGAATGACACATTTTAGTGACACCTAAAACCTGTTCCAGGTTCAAACAAATCCACACATAGAGAGGGGTTTGTTAATTCGGTATTGGGGTGAAAAAGACTAAAAAAGAGCATCTCCTATCCTAATCTTAACCCGTACCTCTACCCCCTCACAACTCCTTCTTTAGTCCCTCTACCTCTATCTCTATCTCACCACTGACTCTGATCAGGGTTTCTCCTCTGTACAGCTTATTGTCATAGTGATGATAAATGTAATATTGTGTCTACTGCCTGTTAAAAGGAAGTTTTTCCTTGCCTGTGTCGCCTAGTGCTTGCTCATGGTGGGAATTGTTGGGTTTCTGTAGTTAACTTCAGAGTAGGGTCTGAGCTGCTCTGTTTGGAAAGCGCTGTGAGACAACTGTTGTTGTGATGTGGCGCTATATAAATGAAATTTAATTGAATTGAATTGTCACCACTGACTCTGATCAGTGTTTCTCCTCTATATAGCTTATTGTCATAGTGATGATAAATGTAATATTGTGTCTACTCTGTAAGTCGCTTTGGATAAAAGCGTTTGCCAAATGCATAAACATAAACATTTTTCATTTAGTCTACGTGTTGCTGTGTTGGCTGCCTCTCTCTCGCCCTCTGTCCTTCTCTCTCTCTTGCCCTCTTTTTCCCTCACCCCTGAGCCATGGTTCTGCTCCAGGTTTCTGCCTGTTAAAAGGAAGTTTTTCCTTGCCTGTGTCGCCTAGTGCTTGCTCATGGTGGGAATTGTTGGGTTTCTGTAGTTAACTTCAGAGTAGGGTCTGACCTGCTCTGTTTGGAGAGCGCTGGGAGACAACTGTTGTTGTGATGTGGCGCTATATAAATAAAACTGAGTTGAATTGAATTGAAACACACACACACACATAAAATGCCCGTTTTTTTCCCCGTTTTTTTTCCAGACGGGTCGTTCCCGATGAGCCAGAGGAGTTTTCCTCCCTCCTTCTGGAACAGCTCCTCCTCCCTTTCGGCGCCCCACCCGGACCTCTCCTTCCCGGGGGACCCCTACAGCACCCACCTGCCCCCGCCGCACCCCGCGCCCCCGCCCCCCCCCCCCCCCCCCCCCCCCCCCCCCACCCCCCGTCCTTTCGGGGGGGGGCCCTGGGCGCCCAGGGCTCCGCCTACCGCGCTCCACACGAGGTTTACGGCCCCGCCTTCGACCCGCGCTACGGATCCCTGCTGCTGCCCTCCGTACGAACGCACCCCCGCCTGGCCCCGCCCGCCCGGGAGGCGCCGGGGGGGGCCGCCGGCGCGCCCTGCGACCCGGGACAGAAGGGGGAGGCGGGCGCCGTGGCGACGGCCTGGAGCGGAGCCTTTACGGGAGCAGGGGCCGAGATCGGACTCAATATGGACACAGGTATGGACACAGAAAGGTACACACACATAGAGGTACACACAGAGGTACACACACAGAGGTACACACACACAGATAGAGGTACACACACACACACACACACACACAGGTACACACACACAGGTACACAGAGGTACACACACACACAGGTACACACACAGGTACACACTCAGGTACACACACACACACATAGAGGTACACACACACAGGTACACAGACACAGAGGTACACACAGAGGTACACACACACACACACACACAGATAGAGGTACACACACACACACACACATAGAGGTACAAACACACACACAGGTACACACAGAGGTACACACACACGGGACACGGCCCAGAGCCACTCAGAGCCATTAGAGCTCCACTATCTGGGCCCAGAGCCACTTAACTTGGGCTCAGAGGGCTCAAAGATTCACAGAGTTTGTTGGAGTCTGAGGAGCTGAAGCTCCGAGTCGAGGGGTCGAAGCTCCGAATCTGAGGAGCTGACTCTTAGAGTCGGAGGGGCCGAAACTCAGAGTCAAAGCTCCAATAGGGGGAATTACAGTCCGAGTTCGAGGGGCTGAAGCTCCAAGTCTGAGGGGCCAAAGCTCCAGGTTGGGGGATAAACGCTCCGAGTCGGAGGAGCCGAAGCTCTGAGACCGAGGAGTCAAAGCTCCGGGTCTGAGAGGCCGAAGCTCTGAGTAGGGGGAATTATGCTCCATGTTCGAGGGGCTGAAACTCAGAGTCTGAGGAGCTGACTCTCAGAGTCGGAGGAGCCGTAGAGTGTGAGCTAGCCCAGCTACAGCGGGTCCCCATTGTGAGCCGAAAGCTGCATTTTTCTCTAAAATGGCAGCAGCGTCTGGTCCGGGTTTTTATACGTTGGCTGGGAAACATTTTGACACACAAATTCCATCTTTTCATGCGTCAAAGATAACTAATAAGTCAACTCTTTAAAAAGTAAACCGGTGAGCTTCGGTGAGGATCAGAGATATGTTGTTGATATTATTGATGGAATGGAGGAATATATGACTTATTGATGATTGAGCATCGGGCTCTTTTAGGGTCATCTGACTTTAAAATGATGAACAGGTCAGAAGTTGCTGTTTTTTAAAATAGTTGAACAGGTGGTCGTGCTCAAACGGCTCCAGTCTGACCTCTGAGTCGATCTGTGTTTGACAGGACGCATGAAAATGAGTCAGGAACACAACCAGGTGGTCCTCAGAGTGCTGATGGAAAACTATTCTGTGTGGTTTTGGGGTTTTTGAGCAGGTGGATTAGCATGAGCTGCTTTGAGGAAACCCAATAATACACACTTATGTGTTCAAGCGACATGCAAAGACTCACAAAACGAAGCAGATTCTAAAACAAAGAGTAGATCTAACCCTGTTTGTGTAGCTTTTTTGGCTCTGAGCATCAGTGTTTTGAAACCTTTTCATGCAAAGGGTCCCTGGTTTGGTTTGGACATTGTTTGTGCGTCAGCTTCAGGCTTTTTCTGTGGAACGGCCTTCAGGCCTCGGCCTTAAAAAGCTGCTGCATCCGTGAAGCATCCGGCCTGAAAACCGTGGAAACAAAGTTTAGATTCAGCAGAATTAAAGGCAAAAAGCGAAAGGCAAAGTGATTCTCACCGTTTAAATGTTGGACAGCCGGGCATCTCGCTGGTTTTTGAAGCATTTTCGTGGCATCGTTTCAATTCAAAAGACGTCGTTTGACACAATTCAAACGCACATTCAAGAAAAGATGCCAACTTTTGAGGTGATTGAAAACCCCTTTGCAAAGCAGAGCACAGTAAATTGAGAATTAGGAATCAGGAATTAAATTATTAAATCAGCTGCTTTAAACAAAGCTTTTCTCCAAACTAAATGTGAATAAAATAAATAATAATAAATAATATTATCATTTATTATTAAATCAATTTATTATGAAATAAATACTATTTATTTATTATAAATATAAATAATATTTATTATTAATAAAATAATATTTATTTATTATAAATATAAATAAAATCTATTATTAAATAAATAATAAAAAAAAGCATTTTCTTTCCTTTGTTGTGGAATTAAAGCAGCTTCCACAACAAAGTATCCAAACCAGAATTAAACCAGGATCGGTTTCCCCTCGTCCGGATCAGCTTACACAAGCGGTTTAAACCAACAAACCGGCTGTCAATCAGCGCTTTAACACCAGCTGTCACCCCCCCCACCTGCCCCCCCCCCTCTGCCTCGGGCCGTTCCTCCTGCTTTTATCAACACGCCGTTGTGCGCTTCATTGTCTAATCTCCCCTTTTTCTTTTCTTGCTTCTTCCTTCGCTCTTCTCCTCTTTTCCCTTCTCCCTCTTTCCCTCCTCTCAGGTCTGCAGGCTCAGGATAAGAGCAAGGATTTGTATTGGTTTTAGAGACTTCCCCACCCCCCCGTACCCCCTCCATCCTTCCCTCTCTTCTGCTTCGGCCGTGGCCTCTTTCCTCCACTCCTGCTCTACCTTGTGAGAAGCCGAAATGCAAAAAAAACCCAGTGAGACTCAGATCATTTCCTCCTCCTTTTTTGGGTTTTTTTTTTCTGGGGGGGCTGTAACGGCTTTTGGTCTGCTTTACAGCTCTGTGTTTCGGAGGCCTGCTGAGCTGAACGCCGGCGGTTTTGGGATACAAACAAAAGGTGGACTCGCAGGAGAGGAGGGAGGAGGAAAACCTGACCCGGACAGAGACCGGGACTCTCTTTGTGCCTCTGAAACAGGCCGGGACAACATTCCTAAAGTGGAAAAAAAAGACGGACGGACGGGGACACATGTGAGCTCGGACTCCATTTTAAGGACTTGGCAGGACTGGCCTCACTGGGCCAACTGGGAGACACTGGGAGACTGTTATGGCTGGAGAACCGGCCCCCGTCGGTGTCGGGGAGTCTGGAAGACGATGAAGGCCCGAGTCCAGACATTTTCGATTTGCACGGAGTCGTGTTCCAATCGGACGTCCCGACGCGGTTCTGGTCTAAAGAACCGTTTCGGCCGGGTTTCAGAGCCTCTCCGAGCCACGAAAAAAACCTCATCTGTGTCTTTGTTTCATGCTGTGTCGTCCAGGTTTTTACGAATACTTTTGCTAAAAGGGGTTTTAACACTAGTCACGGTCCAGTCATACCGGTAAACTCCAACTCCTGGCCTGCAGGTTTGGAAGTTTTCCTGCTTCTGCACACCTGATTCAGGTTAAAAGCAGCTTTTGGAAGCTTACCTGAGCCCCGAACGGGCCTGCTAACGAGCCTGCTAACGAGCCTGCTAACGGGTCTGCTAACGAGCCTGCTAACGGGCCTGTGATGCTAATGGGCCTTTGATGCTAACAGGCCTGCTAACGGGCCTGTGATGCTAATGGGCCTTTGAGGCTAACAGGCCTGCTAACGGGCCTGTGATGCTAATGGGCATGTGATGCTAACAGGCCTGCTAACAGGCCTGCTAACGGGCCTGCTAACGGGCCTGTGATGCTAACAGGCCTGCTAATGGGCCTGCTAACGAGCCTGCTAACAGGCCTGTGATGCTAACGGGCCTGCTAACGGGCCTGCTAACAGGTCTGCTAACAAGCCTGCTAACAGGCCTGTTGACGGGCCTGCTAACGGGCCTGTGATGCTAACGGGCCTGCTAACGGATCTGTGATGCTAACGGGCCTGCTAACGGGCCTGTGATGCTACCCGAACTTATTCGGGCGTGTGGGAGCCTCTAAAACCTGCAGGACGGCGGCCCGGGGTTAAAAGATGTCCGGTGGACGGCTCCAGAACGATGCTGGAAAGCCTTTCGAAATGGTTTTTGAGACCTTTGCAGACGCGTCTATACAGACTTCTAAAGCCGTGCCGGGACGAGAGGTGAACAGTGACGAAAACGACGGCTTCTCATTGGACGTTTGAGGCCGGAGCGATTGATCGATGGTCCACGCTGATTACTTGCATCACTTGCTGCTTTTCTGTTTTATGTATGTTTATATTAAACATCTAAAGTTTAGGATCTGCTGCTTTTTATCAGCCCGTTTTGGATCTTAAAACGCTTGATTTAAGGCAGACTAAGGAAAATGACCATTAAAGAATGACCTCTGGTCCTGTACAGGTTTAGTGTGAGTCATGAACCACTGGCTGCTGGATTTCTGTTTTGTGTCCTTTTGTTTCTGTGCCGAGGGCTTTGGAGTTTTTATGTAAAATATTTGTGATTCAGTCTGTAAATTCTACTTTTATTTTTGGTCTCCACAGACAGTTTTTTGTCGTTTTTGAGCTCCCTCGGACTTTGGGAGCAGCCGCCATCTTTAATCCGTCTGCTTGATCTGCCTTTAAATGACAGACCAATCAATAATCCCAGTCTGAACACGGTTAAAACAGCAGTTATATGTGACATGTGTGGGGTTTTGCTTATTGTCATTCTCAGATTTTATGCAGATTTAACTCATCCATTCAGCTAAAATCACAAAATCAAGGCTTCATTATGCTCACATTGATGCTTTTTTTCTTAAAGCAAAAAGATTTCTCCTTTATCTTATGGAACAAAAATGAAATAGTCAAAGACAAAGACAAAGAAAGTGCAGTATTGTATAACTAAGCTGGCCTTTTATGGCTCAAAAGATGTCACACTCCTACTTTTCCCATGTTTTTGTGTCACATTACGGGACATTAAATTAATATTGCACAAGTTTATCATGTTCTGAAACACTTAAACTGAATGAAACCATCTGAGGAAACATAACCCAAAGCCTTTGGACCTTGATTACCATGTTTTGTTTTTTCTAAACTGAGTTTTTATTGTTTTTTTCCATTTGTAAAGCAAACACAAAATGAAAAAACAGAACAAACAAACCAAAAAAAGACAGAAGTCACAGTGACAGGTACGAGACCACATCCAGATTTACTCAAAAAGACGATTAAAAACTACTTCACAACTCGTTCTAAAGGAAAATTTGCTCCATTTTTTAATCTAAAGTTCAGATTACAGACTCAACCTGAAAGTTAACCGCTCGATTTTGTGGGCTTCCTCCTACTGGAACCAGTCCTTTAGCATCGGTGAGTCAGATTGAAGCCATTTTTTGGCGTTTTTTTGTCCTCAGTCCATCAGAAATGGCTTCTAGTGGTAATAACAAGGTGGGCTGTTGGAGTTTAAAATCTAAAATTGGCTCAATTTTTCGGAGGATGTCCTTTCAGTAAGTCTTAATTTTTGTGCATGGCTGAAAAACATGGGTAAATAAAAATGCTGTTTTGGTGTTTTAAAAAAAAAAGCAACAAATTGTGGTCAATAGTTTGAGGACGAAGACGAAGCAGCAGATTCACATAATGTCCTGTTTTTGTTTTGCTATTTCAGGATCAAACTCTTAACTCTTTCTTTTCCTAATAATACTGTTTCAGGAATGAAACAACCCAAATATTAGCCTTCCTGCTCATAAAGAAATGGTTAGCATTGGCAATACGTGGACTGATAGATCAAAAACCATCTCATCTCACTATTTTTTGGCTTGATTTGAACGTGTGGACAAATGATTTTATTGCTTTTTTTTAATGAGACTCTGCTGGATATTTTCAATCTTTTTTCAGGAGCTCAAACTGATCCCAAAAATTAGACTTTTTTGTGGCTTTGTTCATTCTTTAGCACCACGTTTTTCCCTCTGTTTGTCGTTTCAGGTGAGGCAGTTTTTGAATGATTTTTGCATAAATTCTCTGGATTTCACCACAGAAAATTGAAACGTGCAGGTTAAAAATCCACAAAAATGTGTTTTCATGAGGGAAATTGGACCAATAAGAAAATGAACGGTGTCTTATGAAACCTTAATTAAACGTAGCAGTAATAAAAAGACGGAAGGAGACGTTTGGTGTAAAACTGTCCGAGTCGAGAGGCTCCTCTTCGTTCAGCATAGTTCACGAATCTTTCTCTGACGGTTTGAAAACATCTCTGCGAGTGTGTCAACACGAGAAATGCAAACTTCACACCAGCGGCTGCTGAGGCCTGATGAATGAGGGGAACGGCAGCTATTTGAAGCCACTTGACTCTTTTTTTCTCTCCGCACTCGTGCAGCTGTCAACGACAACTGCTCCTCAACACACACACACACACACACACACACACACACACACACATTCTTGTAAGTACCTCAGACTGAGGACCAAGGAAAAGGACTCACAAACTGAGGACCAGTAGTTCTGAGCGTCTTAGAAAGATGAGTTTTCAAATGTTCTAACTAGGTGTCACACACACACACACGCACACACACACAAGCACACATACACACACACACACACACACACACAC